CTTCCTGTAAGTAGAAACCACAGTATACACATGTCTTGTCATAATAACTGTGTTGACACTGTAAAACATCATACAAGAAGTTACTGGAAATAATTAACAGTATTAATTTCAAGTTATTTTAGACTGCCTTTATTTCAAGTCAAAACTACTTGTGTTTTTTTTTTCTTTCATCTTGAAATGATTAAATGTTTGGAATTTGTGAGGAAAATTCTTCAGTGGAGTCCTAACTGCTCCAAATCAGCACACAGAGTATCTTTCAAGTCAAAGCAATGTTTTACTTGCAGCAAGCGAATGACATGCACAATACAGAGTCCGAACAAGTGACTCCAGAGTCAAGAAATGTTCAAGCATTTATACAGTCACCCAGTCACCAGGCTGGAATACAGGCAGGAGTCCTGTGGCTGGAGCCAGAAGTGCTGCAGCAACCTGAGACATTTTGTCCATGACAGACCTGTGTGTTCACACGCTTTCAAAAGTTTCCTTCATAGTGTGCCATTTTCTCGTTCCACAGCGCCTCCTGATGCCGGATGATAGGCACAGTGTCATCTGACGTCAATACCTAGGAAAGAACTGACATCACTTAGTGCTGCACTCACAGAATGAGGACCGTTGTCACTGACAGTTTGAGGGGAATTCCCCATCTAGGGATGATTTCATGAGCACCACGTTGCCACTGCACTACTTGAGGAATGTTTGGTTAGAAATGCCTCAACCCATTTTGACCACATGTCCACAATCAAAGGCAATATTTCTTTCCATCGGATGGGGAAAGTTCTTTTGCAGAAGTTTTCTGCATAAGCTGTAAAACCTGTGGAAAACCAGGAGGCTTCCACCATGCTTATCATCCCCCTCTTGACACATGGTCCAACCCGTGTGTCAACTTGGTAAATGAGAGAAGAAGTGAGAGGAGAGAGAAGGAAGGAGAATACTCAACCAAAGGAAGAGTTGCTACAGATGGAGCAGGCATCCAGTCTGTAGCCTCTGCTGTACGTTGTGAGAGGGCACCAAGATCTTTCCACTGCATCTGTGATGACTTAGAAACATGTGGGCGCATATCAGCAACATCAAAGAGTGAGCATTGTGTTGATTTAAGTGACAACAAGAGGATAGAGCATGTACGAGACCATACTAAATCACTGCAAGCAGTGTGGCAGGATGTGAAAGCCACACAATCTCATATGATATATCAGGACCAGAAGAGACATGTAAGGTGCAATGCAGAGAGGAGGGAGACATGAACTTGTCAGAATTAAGAGCCTATTGCTTGACCTGTGTCAATAGAGCAATATTTACTCCTAGGTCAGTGGAGAGCCACTGGTAAGTGTACAACAAATTTGGGTCATGCTGCAGCAAGTTCGAATCAGTGGTCGTCACCTGTAACCCATCAGGAGTAGAGATCAGGGGGAGAGAGAGAAAGCACACATCAAATCTCTGCCAAGGTTAAATGGTAGAAGGTAAGAGGAATCTATGTTATAGGGAAGTGTTTCCATTATGGGAGCAGGACAGAGGAACAGAAAAGCGTTCCTTTACCTGACCATTTGCAACCATTTGAATTTGCTGCACCTGAATCTACCATAAATGGAATAGAGGTTCCTTTTATTATTAAGTTCATCATAGAACTTTTAAAGCTTCAGTGAAATAGTTAGCATAGATCCCATCATAGCTAGAGAGAGCAAGTTTTTGTTCTAGGTACTCTACAGCTTATTTCAAAAGCACATGTGGATCAGTGTGTTGTATCATCGCATGTGTGTGTGTGTGTGTCGAGTAGAGGAGGAGGAAGAGGAGAGGGAGGAGGGGGAAATCCGTCTGACTTATCTCTCTGCAGTGGAGGTCAGTCTGCTTTCTCATGTGGCTGTTGAGGTTGGAATGCGGCCGCAGCGGGGTTCATGGGCGCCCCATGATGAGGAGGGGGGAGGCTGTCCTCTACGTCCTCCGCATCCTCGTCCTCTGCCACGCCCCTGGTACTGTCTGCAAGTGTTGGGACATTGAGAAGACCAGTAGCCCATTTCCCCACACCTGTTGCACACGTCTTGGGAATGTTCCTGAGGAGAACCCCTTTGATTATGTTGACCACGTTGTGGGTGTTTCTGCTGAGGCAGGAACGGCTGCTAAAACTTTTTAGATGAACCAATTATTCAAGTTCTGTTATTTTCCATGTGGAACTTCATGTCGAAGCTCAGCCAGATTAAGGTGACTCACAGGGTTCACATTGATGTGCACAAGATAACTTAATATTTTGACTTTCTTCAGGTTCTGGCCTTTCTGTTTAATCCCCTTCTTCGTGGACGCGTGCAAGGACGTGGAGCATTCCTGCCCCACCTGCAACAACATCCTCCACATCTACAAACGTATGTAAAGCAGCACAGCAGTGGAAATGGCATCTACTGAAATGAAAAACGACTGTAATGAAATGCCAGAGCCAAACCTCCCTATGCAAACAACAGACATCATTATGAACTCTGTACACACTTGTGTAAACGACATGTTATTGTTACACGGCTCTGCATTGTACATATGTGACGTGGCATTATATCAGAGTTTCTTTCTTTTCCTGTATGTGATGATTAACATGTGCAATCGAGGTGTAAAACATTTATGGAAAAGTATGAGGAATGATTAAGTGTTCTTGTGCTGGTCTGAGTGTTGCTGTCTCTGTAACTAACAATATGGGACGACACATTAGTGACATTATATTTGTTTCAGGTTTATGACATACTGAATGTTTTTAGTGAGATTTCCTGTATTTGACATGTTAATATGCAGATAAAATATTTAAACATGAACAAAATCTAAATTTCGTGCCATTAGTCAAAATATTTTCTGCAATATTCCAGCATTTAACAACATATGAATCATACTTTCATTGAATGTTAACATTACAAAATAAACAAAGATTGTAAAATACTTCTTACAATCACAATAACCTTCTTAAGGTCTGTCGTCGCTCGGTTTCACTGATCTGTTAACAGCTAAAAGTCTGTTATTACATTAATAAACCACTCACTGCTTGTACCACAGAATGATGATCTATGAATAAATCATAATCTATGAATAAATCAGCAATTATTAACAGTTGACATTTCATTTTTATTCTTTTTTTTTCTCTTGAATTTATAAAGGCACATTTCTTTAACATACATTCATAAATACATATATATTGCTGCCATCTTGGCCTACCTGGTTGTCAGCAAGGTATGTCATTTTGGTTGCTTATATTCTGCTCCTCCTGATATCTGAGGCCAGTTTATTCCTGCTTTCTGGTAATCTCCCTGTAAGCTTGTGTTTTCAGTTAAATAAACTTGTTCCTGCATGTTTGAGTCCTTCTTTTACTCATAACATTACTGCACATGTGTGGAACATGCCTGCGTATGCCTCTGATTATGCAGAGTGCACTGTCAATGTGCACCCTGCAGTATGATCTGGGCTTTAGTCCCCCATTCAACAAATCCTCATTGTAGGGGGAAAAAAAGAACAGCAAGTGCCCAAAGAAATAGTTCTGCCAAATGTGTCAAATCAAGCGTTGATCCTCTCCATGGTAGTCGTCTGCTTGGCTAAAATTCAAACTGTGCAATGACTCATCTAATTTGACCTCAGACTACAGATTCCTGTATCTCTCTTCCAGCTAGACTGTAGATAAAACCAACAGCCTGTTTAACATGTACAATGTTTTATACTATGTCCATGTTAAAAAAAAGACCTTCAAATCAGCCCAAAAAGATGTTAACCACCTGTGCAACGACATGACTTTAGTGACAAATCTACCATAACTTCTCTCATGTTCCCAGAATGTGTCTTT